TCCTTCATACTAGATCACCCCTATTGCTGACACTCATGTCTGGGATGTTACTTCAGGCATGACTGAAGATGTCTGGGGCTGATTAGGCCCATGGCTAATATATCCTCCCTGTGTAAAAGACAGTAAATCGTCCTTTAATGTATTTAATTCGCTTTGAAATTTACTAATCTTTTCCATTTGGAGTTCTTGTTTTCTTTCCTGTTCCAGTGACCACTGGTGCTGGTTTTCTTGCCATTGCTGTAGTCTCTCTTCTTGTTTATTTTCTTTCTCCTCCAACCACTGCTGTAGTCTTTTTTTCTTATTCATTTTCTTTCTCCTCCAACCACTGGTATAGTCTCTCTCTTGTTTATTTTCTCGTTCTTCTCGTTTCTTTTCTTTCTCCTTCAACCACTGCTGTAGTCTCTCTTCTTGTTTATTTTCTTTCTCCTCCAACAACTGCTGTAATCTCTCTTCTTGTTTCTTTTCTCGTTCTTCTTGTTTCTTTTCTTTTTCCTCCAACCACTGCTGTAGTCTTTCTTCTTGTTTATTTTCTTTCTCCTCCAACCACTGTCATAGTCTTTCTTCTTGTTTATTTTCTTTCTCCTCCAACCACTGTCATAGTCTTTCTTCTTGTTTCTTTCTCGTTCTTCTTGTTTCTTTTCTTTTTCCTCCAACCACTGCTGTAGTCTTTCTTCTTGTTTATTTTCTTTCTCCTCCAACCACTGTCATAGTCTTTCTTCTTGTTTCTTTCTCGTTCTTCTTGTTTCTTTTCTTTCTCCTCCAACCACTGCTGTAGTCTTTCTTCTTGTTTATTTTCTTTCTCCTCCAACCACTGCCATAGTCTTTCTTCTTGTTTATTTTCTCGTTCTTCTTGTTTCTTTTGCTGTTCTTGTATTGCTGACATCAAATCTGCTACGCTGTAGTTTGATTTGCCACTTCTCTTTCCATCTTTTTTTTTCTGTCCCACTCTCTGATACCACTTAGTTACATATCTGCTTGTTTGTTAATTTCCAGTAGAAATTCTTTCAGAGAAACTTAAGCGATACAATTCCTTTCTTGATTAAACCAGTTTATTATTCCTCCATACAAACTTTTAGTACACAGAAGTTCCACAATCAATACGTTTCTCGTCACTATAAACTTA